AGCATTTAGCAATGAAGACATTTTAGGAAAGACAAAATGCCACATAATTTAACTTCGATAACTAAAATTACGCTTAAAAAAGAACTGAAATATGGTACTGTGCAAGGGAAATGAAATGTGTAGTTACCCTGCGTTTGTATGAAATGTATAAATTACAGATCCAGATATAAAACAAGTTACCTAGAAATGGACTAAATATCTGTAATGCCAGGCTTTCATAGACCGCACACTTTCTCTTTTTTTGTGGTTTGTGTAATTCTAAAAAAATACCCTGTAATTTAGCTTTCTCTGTAATTCAGCAGTGGTCTTTTATTTGGGTTGTATAAACACCTGATAAAATTTATACTTAACTCTGGAAAGTAGGTTGCTACTGTTATGCATTTCAGACTCATACTAAAGACAGTCATAAGAATTTAAGTTACAAATAAAAAAGAGAGATTATTTTTTACCATTCTATTGAGCACCTTTAGACCAGACAGAATTGAAGCTCACCTTTAGAGACTGAACCATATGTCATACTTTTGTTTGGAAGGGCCTGTGGTCCTCCGGTTAATCTGTTCTTGAAACTGGTACAGAGACCTCAATTAATCCATCAGAGGAGCATTGGATGGCTGGATGTCAGTGTGGAGCTACTGGGGAGGAAGAGTCAGTGAATCAGGCACACTAAACATGATGTACTGTCTCCATTTTGGCATTTTGTCCAGTTATAAATCCAGATCCACTGTTACCATCAAAGCACCTCCTGTCTCTCAACACATCATTGTAATGCCTCCTACAACCTTTTATGGAGCAATGCTCCTTCAGGGCCAAAAGAAGAAGCGTTTACTTTGCTTAAACATCGTGTGTTGCAATCTTGAGCCAATGTTCAAGAGGAATCGAGTACCTACATTGAACAACGGTTTCCAAAGAAATCCACTAATATTTAAATATTAACTATACAGATGAGACTGTTGTGTTTAGCTTCACCCACAAATTAAAGTTTACTCATCATTTACTCACACTCACATGTTCTTAACTTTTAAGAATTGCATCTGTTAAACACTATGAAAGATATTCTGAAAAAAAAAGCAAATAGGAAAAACAAGTACTGTGAAGGTCAATGACTGTTTTTTCCAACATTCTTTAGTTTATCCTCCTTTGTGTTCAACAAAAGAAAAAAAAACAAACTTAAACAGGTTTGGAACAAGTGAAGGATGAGTAAATGATAGTGATATAATGTTCACTATCTTCGCACCAAGGTTTTGAAACATACAATGTATACATATGTATACGTATACATATAGTTGAAGTCAGAATTATTAGCCCATCTGTTTATTTTTTCCCCCAATTTTTGTTTAACGGTGAGAATATTTCTTCAACACATTTCTAAACATAATAGTTTTAATAATTCATTTCTAATAACTGATTTATTTTATCTTTACCATGATGACAGTAAATAATATTTTACTAGATATTGTAAGGCTTAACTAGGTGTATTAGGTTAACTATGTAGGTTAGGGTAATTAAGCAAGTCATTGTATAACGATGGTTTGTTCTGTATCAAAAAAAAAAAGCTTAAAGGGGATAATAATTTTGGCCTTAAAATGGTGTTTAAAAAATTAAAAACGCCTTTTTATCTAGACAAAATAATACAAATAAGACTTTTTCCAAAAGAAAAAATATATATTTCAAATATTAAAAAAAATAAATAAATCAAAAGGGGGTTAATAATAATAGACTTCAATTGCATATAAAAAAAAAAAAAAACGATACATCTCCCAGTGAAGCAGTGTATCGGAGCTTGATTTGTTTTGCCATCATGTGATCAGTGATGTCCGAAGCTTCATTTTCGTTTATACCCACATGACTGCTTCGGATTTGGATTTGAATGAGGTTTAAACAGCCTCATGGGTTAGTAAAGTGTATAGCTAGATTAGATTTCATGTATTTCTGCGGTTTCAAAGCACTGCACCGGTCCAGTAATTCGCACACGGCACCAGTAATTAAACTAAAATACAATGGTAATTTATAACAAAAGGCATTTGAACCATACTAAAGTGTATTAGTGTATTATTTACAACTTTTAAAAAAATAAAAGCCACTGCATATTGTAGTATAGTTTGTAGTGAAGGCCAGCTGGTGAGTGCAAAAAGCCTCAAACCTCCATCTTTGCGAGTGACAGCAACCTTTGGTGACTAGGTGAGGGTGTCAAGCGGTACGACAAAGTTTAGTATCCTTTAACTTTATGCATATTAAGAGCAACTTTCTTGAGTGACAGACAATAGATGCACCAGTAGAGCTGATGTGACCCTCTCTCAGCTCGCTCAGAGGCTGGTTGTATTCTCCGTGTTGTAGACCTAGACAGACCTGTGTTTGCAGCAGGTTGCCACCCAGAGCGAAAATCAGCTACAAAGTCGCTGCTAGTGTGGATGAGGTATCACTCTCATAGCCTCCTCCTCTAGAGCATTCGCCTCCCATGCAGGAATTGCAGGTTTGATCTCCGCTCTGAACCAGTGAGTTGGTGTAGAACTGGTTGGAATACGATAAACATTAAATTATTTTGAATACCTTGAATTTTACTACAGTCACCTGTGCTGTAATGTGACACCGGATATGTACAATACCACAGTAATCAAGTCATTTGTTTAGTATTACAACAATAGTAATGTAAATTAATGAGTTGCTCAGTTGTGAACATTTGACATTTTTGCCACACAGTGCTTTCCTACACATCTATTTTAATAAAGGTGTATTTTAAATTTTATGACTTTTATTTTTTACCTTAATCTAAATAAGACAATAATATGGTTAAGGTTGTTTACATAAGGTGCTTTTTGAATGTTCCGTTTTACAAGTTATAGCACAAAATTCACTTAGCGTAATCGTTTCACCCCACCATTAACATTTTCCTCCAGAGTTTTATGTTATTACGGGTGTTTCATTTTTACTTTGTCAACTTTATCTGCAATTTAGCACTTTCACTTTCATTCAGGAACATTTCATGCATGCCCCTGTGATAAACAAGATATTAGATGTGAGGAACTGCTGGAAAAGTGTTGTTTTAATGGATTTTTTTATACCGCACACATGAGAGAAAAAACACCTCTGTGTTTCTCGGTAACTTAGATGCTCGGTAGGTGCAGAAAAAAAAAATCCACTTGTTAAGTGTGACGTCACGCGAAGAGGCTTCTGGGTCCAAGTGCTATATCAAACTGAATGGGGAGACTCATCAAATGGTAATAATAAACGTTTAAAAAGCACTGTAATACTTCTAAAAATCCCGATCGCAATATATACATCCAAGCCTAATTATTAGATGGGCAGAATGTGATTAATTTTTTATAAATTGTTAACATTTTGGTATTTGTGATGCAGCAAGTATGTAGACTATTGTGTAAACTTTGATTTTATATAAAATTCACTTATGTGTGATGAGACTAAAAAAGGGGCCAAAAACTAAAATTTTTCTCAATTTAAATGAGTAACGGCTTGGATCTGGAAACAGTATTTCATGCATCACCAATACGTCACCACTTAAAAGCGAATAGTGTCACACAGCCATGTGTGTATAGACTATCCTGTCACAAAATGTGGCGAAATTCTTACACGATGGTAACAGTTTGATTAAGGAGTTTACATGTGTACATTCTGAGAGCAGCATTAACAGCGGATCTATCAGTCCATCATATTGTAGTGATATTAACACACTGTAAACTTAGTAACTAAATCATTTTGACTAAGGTTTGTCTACAAAAACGAAAAGAGTTTTTGACACTGCTGTTACTGATACTCCTGACGATACTAACTAACTTTGCCATCTGAATAAACATAAACAAAGAACACTGATCACACACTTACCAAATCTGTAAAGACCCCATCTTTTTTTAAAAGACAAATGGAAAATCTGGATTTCACCATTTCCAGATGCAAAAAAGATCTCTGGTAAAAAAAAAAAAAAAATGTTCCATACAAGTGTATTTTTGTTATGTGTTAGCAGACCATTGCAATCCGCACGTGAGTCCAGCTGTGCTCTTATGACAGGGAAATGAAAATAAAACCTTTGATGTAGCACATTTCTAAATGCAACACTGACGACCCATGTCTCCAAACAATTCTTCTTCTTCCACTTACGGTTGGTAACACAACGTGCCGTCTCTGCTGTCTGAACATTGTAACAGAAAGTCTTCGAATCTAGCATGCATATTAATGAAGTTGCACATCATGCACATTAGAGCACCCTGATTGGTTCGAACCGAGTCTTTCTCTTGAATTAAATATGAAAACTCAATGACGTCATGTTGTACCTGCCAGTACAGACATCTAGTCTCCATGCTGGAAATTACAGAAGGATCTAATCGTTTTGAAGTAGCTTCTAAATTTATTTTCAAACCGGAAGTACAAATTGGTCACACTTTACAATAAGGTTCATTAGTTAATGTTAATTAATGCATTTACTAACATTAATAATGCATTAGTAAATGTTCAATTATGATTAATAAATGCTGTACATTTGTTGTTAATGATTAGTTTATGTTAGTAAATGCATTAACTAATGAACCTTATTGTAATGTGTTTCCTATGAATTTGCTCGAAATAACGCAAAAACAACATTTTTTTTTTTTTTTTTTTTTTGAAACTAAGTGTCCTAATAGTGTTTTTAGCAGCATGGGACACGTATGTCCATCAACATCTCAAAAAAGTATTTTGGTGTTTCGTGACTCTTTATGTTCTTCTCTATGAACAAAAGAGTAAACTCAAATAGAGAGTAAAGGGTGAGTAAATGATGAGAGATGTAAAATTTTTGGGTCAACTTTCCTTTAAAGGGAACCTTAGATGACTACAAATGTAATCCAAACAGGAGCAATTACGTTCACAATTAAATAATAATAGTAATAAAACACACACACACACACACACACACACACACACACACACACACACACACACACACACACACACTAAATGATGACTGAAGTAAGCCTCGCTAATCATTTTATTTAATTTTATTTGATGTTTTTCAGGGACAGCGGTATTATTATTATGAAATGGGCAAAAATTCTGACCCTAGTAAAGAAGATAACGTGCAGTTCAAGAATGCACTGACCGTCCACCCAGTGTCTGATCCTGAGCAGATGTACAGACTCCACAAACACTTCACCGAGATTGAGCTGCGGAAGACATACGAGGAGATCGAAAAACTGCAGGTACCCTCTTGCTAAACCTTTGCTGACTCATAGCAATGCCAAACTGAGACAAAATGGTGCTTCCTGTTGACCTTTTGAATGCGATGATTCATTACATGCTTTTTGAAAGGGTGTGTAAAATTGCTAGCACTTTTTTCCTTTCTTCGTTTTCAAAGAAGTGTTCTGGTAATGTGCAGCATTAACATTTTTTTTTTTCTAAATGGAGGTAATAACCTACTCATCAAACCTTTCTTAAAATGTTTAATGGTTTCTCACACCTTGTTCTCTCCCTTTCTTTTACAGGCGGAAATTAGAAATGTCAGTGTAGTGGCTTTTGAGGGCAACCGCAGTGCTTTGTGGCCAGTTGGAATCAATCCACCCTTTGAGCCCAAAACACGATTCGAGGTCCTGCGGTGGGATTACTTCACTGAGGATCAGGTTTACTCTTGCATCGATGGCTCTCCGAAATGCGAGCTTCGTGGAGTTGACAAGCTAGACGTAGCCGATGTCATTGAGACAGCAATGGGTGAACTGAATAAAAAGTACAAGCCTGTGTTGTACCTAAAGAAGCAACAGCTAATCAATGGATACAGACGTTTTGACCCCACCAGAGGTATGGAGTACACCCTGGACCTACAATTGGAGGTAGTTAACCAAAAAGGACACAGTCGCTCTATTACCAAGAGGGTCCACTTAGTAAGACCTCTCAGTCGCATCGAGATCATCCCTATGCCTTACGTTACAGAAGCAACTAGAGTTCATATCATCTTACCCGTTACTCTTCAAGATCGAGATTACGTTCATCAGTTTTTAGAAGTGTATGCCACAAATGCATTCGAAACCAGCGAGAATGCGATCTTGACGTTCCTCTTCATCTACGATCCAATAGAGGCCCAACAAGTCAACCAGAATGACATCTTCTCCAGCATCAAAGCACAAATCAGTACGTACGAACATCGATATCCTGCAGTCAAAATCCCCTGGATTAGTGTTAAAAGCGAAAGTCCGTCTCAAATCAAATTCATGGACATCATCTCCAAGAAGCACCCGGTTGACACGTTGTTCTTCATTGCGACGGTAAAAACAAGCATCAGTTCAGAGTTCCTCAATCGCTGTCGGATGAACTCCATCAACAACTGGCAGGTGTTCTTTCCAATCCACTTCCAGTACTACAATCCTGACATCGCTTATCACAACCAGCCTCTTCCCAGTGCGTTGGATTTGGTCAAAGAGGCTGGTCTTTTCGATCGCAGCTCCTTCACCGAAGCTTGCTTCTATAACTCGGACTACATGGCGACCCGTACCCGGATGTCATCGGATGTGCTGGAGAATGAGGAGATCCTGGAGAACCTTGATATCTATGACATGTTCGTCAAATACTCTGGCCTCCATGTTTTCCGAGCAGTGGAGCCGGCCCTGCATCAGAAATACAGCTACCAAACGTGTAATCCTCGCCTTAGTGAAGAAATCTACCAGAGGTGTGTACAAAGCACCCTGGATAGCCTTGGATCACGCTCTCAGCTCGCCATGCTGCTGTTTGAACAGGAACAGGGCAACAGTACTTAAAACCAAACCCTGAAGATTGAGAGGTGACCAAAAGGCGATAAACACTTTTTTTTTTAAAACCATTGAAGTCGCAATGCTGAAAGAATCAAAAATGCTGTTGGTACCAAAAAGAAGACTACAAACATTAGAAATCTACTTATAGATAGCAGACTTTTGTGACAACTGGGGATTTGTGATTTACTATCTTTCTTGTTTCAGCAGATTGGTCTATGTTGGCTCTTAAACAAGGCAGCTGTTAGCTGTTGAAACGATCACTACCGTAACATATCTGAATCAACGTGCCTTCAAAAATATGCTGTCCTTTCACAATACTTTTGTCATCACAAACACTTTTGCTCTAGCTGATTTGTTTTAAAAGGTTTTAATATGTTTAATTTTTTTTTTATAGTATGAAGGAACTTTATGCAGATTCTGTGTTCTAGCAGTGGGTGGTAACACTTTATAATAACTACACACTATGAATCATCTATTAAGCATTAGTAAATAGTTCATAAGCATAAACTCTACATTAACAGACGTTAGTAAGAAGGTTTTAAGCAAATTTTACAAATGCTTTATTTTTGACTTGTTAGGTCATTTAAAATGTGCTTAATAATAGCACTTTTATAAAGGGCTGGGCAATTTGGCCTAAAATCTTGATTAATTGCACATCATAACTTGATAATTATCAATGAATAATCATTTTATTTATTATATTTTTTTTTCTTCATAGTTCACTGAAAAGTTTTATATACCGTCTAAAGGCATTTTTGGCGCAGCTTCCAATCATCATCAATGTAGTGCAAAGTAAGGCTCAAGAATAAGTCCATTATCCTACTTGACCAGAGATCAGTTATGGCTACAAAGTGGCCACAGACACATAGGGCAAATCATCGTAAAATTTGATTACTTTTTGATTAATCGCCCAGGTCTACATTCATACTTTGTTACGGATTAATTTTTTATGATTAAATACAGTATCTACGGTGGCTGAGAGAGCTGAACGCAATGCAATTTAAGAAAGCACATGCCATTACAATAAAAACCAGCATATAAAGAAACGATCTTCATCAATTTGACAGCATACATGTTCCAAATTCTCACAACACAAAAAAACTGAAAAAACGCACAGCAAATTGGTCACAACACAAACAACTTAAGAAACGCGCAGCATTTAGTCATGACACTTGCGAATATCCATGTAACACAACAGAATGTTTCAAGGGGACCCAAAACCATGACGGACCGTGCTAAGATATGTATAACGGAATATTACGAATATTAAAATAAACGGAAAAAAATACTCCCCTTTTAAAGACCACCAATCACTTCCCTGAGCAACAGTCATGGCATAATATTACAAATCATTTTTATTTAAGAGTAAATGTTTTTTTTATTTAATTTTTTTTTTTATCAATCAGAATGAGTTAGTAAATGTTTATATTATATATTATTATTCAGGCATATACTAATGGGTAGTTTGTATGATAATAAGTGCCTAATCTATAAATCCCAATAAATGACAATTAAAGGCTCAGGATCAAATGAACAATACATTTTTGCAATGTTATCTAAAAGCAAAATTACTGTAAAGTTTAAACATTGCTGAATAACAGGAGTGTCAAAATATGACATCAAATTGGATAAAACAACAACAATATAATCATTTAACAATATACAGGGTGCAAATCTGTATTTAATCAAAGAAACATGATGGAAATTTGGGTAATTAATCAATGTGAAGAGTACTTCAAGTTTTTTTTTTTTTAAGTACAAGTTCATAAATGTTCAATACGACCCCGTCCAGACACTCGAGTGACATCAGCCTGATACTCGAACTCGCTCCACACTCTCTGTAGCATCTCAGGCATGACAGTTTGGATAGCTGCAGTTATTCCCTCTTTTAATTCCTTAATGTGAAACTTCAGAGCTTCGTTAAATCTCCTTTTCTTCTTTGTAGAGCTCTCGATTTTCTAAGTTGTGGTATTCTTTTGGAATCACCCTGTATTATGATACAACATATCAATGTCATTTAGCAAAGTTTCAAATGCACAGTAGTTTAACTTGCAAAGATTTATTTTTGATTTGATACAATTTCATTTGTGTATCTTCAAATGAACAGAAATGAATAAAGTGTTTTATTTTCTTTTTTTCCTGTTTGTAATATAACTGAGCCTTTAACTGTAGTTTATAAGGGATTTATAAAGCATAAATAGCCCCCACTTTTGATTAGGTCACAAAGTTGAATGAAGTTGAGTTAATAAAGCATTTATTAACATAAAAATGAACTATTATGCATATATGATAAGATGTATAAATGTTAATTTGAATAGTTTATTAATCATCTACTAACTCATTCTGGATGATCTTTAAAAACCAGCAACTTAACTCAAATTATTGGTTTGTAAATGATTTAAAACGTAATTTAAAAATGAAAATATAATAAACATATGAAAGTCTAATCATTAAGCACATTTTATGTGTGCTTAGAAGTCAAAAATAGAGCATTTGTATCTGCATTTATAAACTGCTTACTAACATCTGTTAATGTAGAGTTAATGCTCAACAGATAACGAATTCACTATTTTCTATGTTTAATACGTGATCCATAGTGTGTAGTTATTTTAGTGTTACTCATTGAGTTTATTAATGTTAAAATGTTTTTAATTTTTGTCTATCAGTCCATACTTAAATTTACTTAAATATTTGGCTGAAATATATTTGTTGTTGTTGTTTTAATATTAGTGCCAAATAACAGATCAAGGGATAGTTCATCCAAAAATGCAAATCCTGTCATGATTTACTCAGCTTCTACTTGTTCCAAACATATTTGAGTTAATTTTTTCCTCCTAATATTAATGTTAATGGCTACCGGTTTCCAACATTCTATCCAATATTTATATATTTTTTCATTTCATATTTTATTTATTTATTTTATGTGTGTGTGTGTGTGTGTGTGTGTGTGTGTGTGTGTGTGTGTGTGTGTGTGTGTGTGTGTGTGTGTGTGTGTGTGTGTGTACAACAGAAAAAAAAATCATAAAGGTTTGGAAGCAGTTGAGGGAGAGTACATGTTTAACTATCCCTTTAAGAATTTTCCATCACTATTTTATCTAAAGCATTTTAACCAGTAATTTATTCTTGAACTTTGAACAGCAGAACACAGTTGCTTGTATAATCCACACTTGGATTTAAAGTCATTTAAATATTTGTACCATTGAAACCGCCTCTAAAGAGATTTTCCAGATGAAAGAAATAAACACTTTAAGGTTTTTGCACTAATAAATCGTTGAAACTCTGCCTTGTATATCAGATGCACAATACGCCTGTCAAAGCATTTCATTTTGTTCGAGAAAAATTATAGGGTCAGTTAGTTCGTTTGTGGAGTGCAATACTAGTGCAATACAATTCAGCCTGCTGATGGAAACATTCCAGATGAGTTAAACACACCACAGAGAGCCTCCATTCAAAACCGTTCAATAATCATAATGTGTTTCTGTGGGTTAAATAAGATCATTCAGATTTGTTTGTTTGTTTGTTTGTTTGCTTGTTTGTTTTTCTTGGTCCCCTTTCATCCTTCAGAAGTATTTCCTGGTACCTGTGTTTACTGTATAAGTGTTGTGTTTAAGATTATTTTTTATTTAAGACATCATAAATGTAAATGCAGTACACTGACACAGTGGTGGAATCGGTTTTGTAAATGACACATGCACGACATGAATAGCACAGAATGAGCGCAGACTGAAGCCGCTGTTGGCCTTTAGGGGTCAGCAGAGGATTGTGGGATTACAGCTGCTCTCGGATTTCCATTCTTTCTCCAGACTCTTTCTTATCCTTTTTGCTATAAATATTCTCTATAAATCTATTGTATATTGTTTTAAATATTATTGTACAAAGTGTTTAATAAATCCTTTATTTTAGGGTTCAGATAAATTTTAGTGTTTGTCTCTGTTTTTATGAACCTGTTTAAATTGCATTTTATTTTATTTTCAGGTCATATTCGCATACCAAAGCAAGCTATAAGATAATTAAGTGGATGTATTTTTATTTTTTTTCTCTCTCTGTGACTATTACCGTTGCATATAAATCAAAGGTTACAAACTAAGACCTTAAAGATATGGTTTAATGAGATGCTGTAAAATTTTCACCTCTATTTATATGCCCTCTCTTTTTTTTCCCTGAGCCTTTACCACACACATTGGCTTTGGGCACACAGTGAACCCATAGAAGCAGTGGGCAGCTGAAGTCAGCAGTATCTAATTATACTTAGAACTCATTTAATGCTGGCCTTTCTCTCTATCCTATAATTTCTTCCATATACTGTATATATCCTGAATGACATTTAAATGATTTGCAGCAAACAATGACTTGCAAATTGGTCACTATACAGACTTTCTGATGAATGAGAGTGATGCCTGGTTTCATGTATGCTAGAAGGGTTTCCTAATTACTGCAGATGATATTCTTACTGTACATATGCTGTGCAGGTTATTAACTGTCAAACAATAATTGTTTAATTAATGATTTAATCGGCTTCTTTTAAATATATTTTTAAGATTTAGGTTTACTTTTTATATTTGTAAACATTAACACATTTAAAATAAAAATGTATTTAAAATGTTCTCTCTATATATATACAGCTTGGTCATTTTTACATTCTTGTTGCAACCAAGTGAATTATATTATATTATATTATATTATATTATATTATATTATATTATATTATGTTATATTATATTATATTATATTATATTATATTATATTATAATATATTATATTATTTTATATTATATTATAGTATATTATATTATATCATATTATATGATAATATATTATGTCATATTATATTATATTATTGACAATCTTTACCATGGCATGCAAGTTAGCAGTAAATATTGTGCAATATCAAATATCTATTATTGATCGGCATTAGTTTTGTGCTTTAGATGAAATGACCATGATCAGATGATTAATTGTGTAACAGACACAATGGTTAAAATGGTTTTTAACCCTCATGTACTGTTGGGGATGTTTTCATCCACTTTGGAGTGATTTTGTGTCTTAATTTTCTGCAAAATAGCATC